GGCATAAGTTTCTCGTGACTCTTCTTGTGTTAATCAAGCTGGCCAGGCTATATAGATTATCATAACATCTCTAAGCGTTCCCAGGGTTAATGTTGACTTGAGCTAATAATTATGTAGTGGCAGAGCAATAACACCGAGTGTAAGAGAAATAACTTGTTTTATTCATTGCTTGAAAATGTGAAGGTTACAAGCCTACTTGAGGCGAATGTAACTAAACAAGTAGGGAGCGAATCGCTCGAAATAACTAAACTTTTACTAAGTAGATGATGTAGGTGTTTCGTCCAATTGATGTAGAGAGATGAAGAGGTGCATCATCCTTAAGGTAGGATAGCCCCCCAGTTTAGGATGATGCAATCACTAACAATGTTATGGGCTTGAGAGACTCCAAGGGTCATTGACATCATTGGAAGTCCAGGGACGTAGAAAGAGATTGTCAATGAGATGTGGACGATTGTCGTCGGCCATCTCGTTGCCGGGTGTTCAAGTGATCTTCATCTATTTTCCTCTTGGGATGATGGAGGAATGAAGCCTCTTCGATGCGCACGTGTTTCTCAGCGCGACCTAGTAGCTCTTCCAGAGTGGTTGGAGGTCTTCCTGCAATAGATTCCTTGAATCTACTTTCCTTCAAGTTTTGTTGAATGATTCCAACGAGCATGCTTCCTCCCATGTTAGGAACTTTGTGAGATGCCTCTACAAATCGTTGAATGTATTTGCGGAGGGTCTCGCCCTTTTTCTGGGTGATAGTGAAGAGGTACGCGGGAGTCTTAGCGTACTCTTTGTTGATAGCGAAATGGTGGGTGAAGCTATCTGTTAGTTGGGAGAGAGCTTCAATTGACCCAGTGGGCAAGGAGTTGAACCAGCTCAATACTCGTTCGGAGAGCGTTGTGCGAAACATCTTGCACATCGCCGCATCAGTTGGGCCATATAGATCTGCCATGGCGTAGAACTTTTCAAGGTGCTCATGTGGGTCGCTAGAGCCATCGAACTGCGGTACACTCGAAACCTTTACCCGTTGGGGTAGTATCTCATTGATTATTGCGGCGGTGAAGGGACTGCGCCTTATTGGAGGTGTTGCCCTTCCACCAATGGGATTAGCTATATGGGGAAGGTGATTTGAGCGAGATACCCGATTGTTAATTTCATCTTCTCTACCATTGTGTGGAGGAGCTCGTTGGCGAGAGGCGTTGCCTCTTGAAGGTGAACGTGGGTCTTGTCGTCCAGTTCGTGCATCTTGGCAATGATTAGATTGTTGCATTCGAGACCTAGGGTTTGAGGTGGATGCGGTATCTGCTAGTGGTGGAGGTTGTTGTGGCACGGGTGGAGATGCAAGGGGAGAGTTGCCTTCCGTTGTGGTGATGTATTGTGCCACTGCTTTAATAGCAGCACGAGCTGAAGCTTCCGCAATCATGTATGGAGGGCCTCTTTGGTTATCTGAATTGTCGAGGAGCGGGGAGTGGTGGATCCTGCGGGGGATTTATCTGGACCTCATGAGGTGGATCCTGATTACGAGGTGGAAGTGGCAAGCCAGAGCTTCTACGAGGTGGGAGGTTGTTAGCATTGGCACGTTCTCTGCGAGTGGATGACTCAGGGACATCATGCGCGCTACGTGATCTTGTATGCGTTCCCACAGACGGCGCCATTACGATGATGCTAAAAATAGATCACCTTAAGTAGTTGAGATCGAAGGAGTTGGGAGAGCAAAGTGGATCATTGCTCACATGCTAGATGACCCCGAGATACCTGCAAACAAAGAACACGTGAACTAGGCCGGGGGTTGATCCGGCGGAAACCCCTCCGACGCTCAAGTCAGACGTGCAGATTGTGGAAATGGTTGAGAGAATACAAATTTTAGTATTACTCAAATAATAGGGCGTACCTTTAATAAATGAATTATGTCGTTATTTATATCTTGTTGATTGGGTTGCGGTTAATTTATTGGGCCAAAACCTAATTTGAATGTGATTGGGCCTCCGTAGAAATAACTATTAAACTGGGTCTGTGGCCCAGTAAATATTGGTCTATTGGACTGGGCCAATAGGCATATCAGGGGTATTTGCAAATTAGCTGGAATATCAACAAAAATGGAGAAAAAAGGACATGAGTTCTTTTAAAATTATAGTTTAAAACAACTTGTTTTAAGAAAAACAAAAGTAAAAATTTGTTTTGTAGACACCTAAAAACAGATTATCGACAGAAAAAAGTTGAGAATCTATTTCTAAAAGCGTTTGCAAACACCACCTTAGTAGTGTCGATATACAAATGTCTCTTTGCATTTCTAACTCAAGCATAAGTATATTTTTTTTTTCCATGTTCGAATCCTCCTGCCAACGGACAACGGTTGCTAAGTCGAGCTTGTCACATATAGTTACCTAGTGTGGTTTACGTCTGTCGTATGATTTACAAGTTATTATATGAGAGTGTAGGTTTGCCCAGGACACCTGTAATGTTGGAGTTGGATGCATGTTGCTTCATTAAATTATATATATATATATATATATATATATATATATATATATATATTGCAAAATTGTCCTTAAGGTCGACTTTTACGGTTGATGTTCTCACATATGTCATATCTAGCATTATAATTTCCGATTTTTCTCATTAATAGAATTATAAGTCTGGTTTTCTCAAACACAAAAAAAGAAAAGAAAAAAAAAACAACTATTGCTAATTGCTACATAGATTTTGAAAAGTTATTACTTATTATGTCATTAAATATACATCTATTGGTCTATTTTTTATAATTAAAGAAAATAAAAATTAATCGATACATGATTCTTTACGAATTACAATTTACAACTTGTAAATTTACAAAACACTTTTCGATTGGATATGCGATTTAAAAACTATTGCTTAGACTTCCTTCAAGCAATGCTACACCCTTGCACCTAATATCAAAACACATAACCACCATTTTGATACTACAAACTAAAAGAATTCCATATCAAATGAGGTTTGTATTTTGATATTTTGAAATTTTGGAATGTAAAAATACGTCCTGGAAAAATAATCACAAATGAAAGTTACAAATTTAACCACCCAAGTGACCACTTAAAAAATGACGTGTGGTAATTAAATCTATGATCATTTTATTTATTTTTAACTAATAACTATTTGATGTCTATGGTTGGAGAAAATTAATTTATATAGATATCAAAATATAATATTACATATCAAAATTAATATTTGATTTCTCATTTTGATATTTTGGGTTGGAGTTGCTCATAAATGTGTATCGAAACACAATGTGATTATCCTTAATTACGCTGCATGTAATATCAAAATTAATTATCAAATATTTACTTGATATTTTAGTTTGATACCTATATAATTTTTAGGGGCGAATTCCACTTTCTCCTCTTGTACTTTGGCTCGGTATCAGTTTACCCGCTTATAATCTCGATTGCATCCATTTGTCCCTTTGCACTTGAAAAATTGCCTCAATGTAGCCCTCGTTGTTAGTTTTCAGACATTTGACCTTAACACCGTTTGGTTTGAGCTCCGAATTACAAAACGCCATCCCTCACAGTTTAAATAGTTATTAAAAATACAAAAAAAAAAAAAAAAACCAAGACAACGAGAAAGCATAGTCCACAACGACAACCACAATTTTTTTAATAATTATATAAACTGGAAAAAGTGGTCTTTTTTGTAATTTTCAGACCTTAGACCTAACGGTGTTAATGTCAAATGTTTGAAAACTAAGTGCAAGGGCCACATTGAGACATTTTTTTTTAATTTTTTTTTTAAATTTTTTAACTTTGTTATCCATTAGGTATATTAATCGACTATGAACCATATCAATCAACTATGATGAATCATAGTCGATTAAGGAACCGACTACTAAAAATAACAAATCACAACAACAAATAAATGCATACTCAACTATATTTTACAAAATAATAAAAATATACAAACATTATAATTGATTTATAAAATTGGAATCAATAAAAAAAATAATTAAAATTGAAGTCGATGAATCATATTAATCGACTATGATGAAGCATAGTCGATTAAGGAACTGGCTACTAAAAATAACAAATCACAACTACAAAAAAATGCAAAAAATCAACTATATTTTACAAAAACAAAAAATATATAAACATTACAATTGATTTATACAATTGGAATAAATAAAAAAAATCCAAAAAAAATTAAACATTAGAGTCGATTAACCTTAATAAACTATCAGAGCATAGTCGATTAACCTAATCTACTATTGAATATGTCATAGTCGATTAAGATTTCAGCCTGCGCGAATTTCTCTACCCGCGCCGTCATCCGCCTGATCCACTAAAAAACCCTAAATTTGCCTCCCCATCGTCACCACACCGCCGCCACACCATACTCTGTCAACTAAAGTGGGAGTTCGATCTCCCAGTATCCCAGTTTCAAGAACTAGAATCCTCCATTAACGATATTATATTACTGAAGAACTAAACTAAAATCTAGCAAGAAGAAAAGAGACGAAAAAAAACACAGAAAAGATGAAGAATCTGGAAATTCATACTTTGTTCCCAAAAAACTATAATCCTGTCAATATCAACAGAAAATTCTGACAGATCTACTCACACTCACGACATATTTGCAGAAATTAATCTCAAAAGAAATTAAACTGGGTGTTGCCTTTCTCTCTCTTAATTTCTTACGCGATTTACTGCAAGGAAAAATAAAAATAAAAAAGGATATTAACATGTACAACTTCAATCCCGTTGATGATGTGAGTGACGACTTTTCCCAATTTCACAGAGAAGAAGAAAATGAGGAAAAGGCGGGGGGAGAGAGAGAGAGAGAGAGAGAGAGAGAGAGAGAGAGAGAGAGAGATAGAGAGAGAGAGAGAGAGTTTACGTACTAGGATAAATAAAAAATAAGATTAGGGTTTTGAAAGAGTATAATAGACAATTAAATGTAGATTTGGAATTATGAAAATAGCATTTGAGTGGAATATTATTTAAGGGTTTTCTCTAATTGATTTTGGAAGGGGATGTTTCTTTCTACATTTTCTAGATGGGGGTTCTTGCTAATTTTCCCTATAATTTATATAAGATTATATACAATAAACAAAAACTTTAGGGGTGCCGAAAGCAATATTCAAAATATATAATGACTAAATACCTATATTATTTTTTAATCTTAGGGTTCACAGCACCTGCCCCTTCTTAGTACTGCCACTTAGATCACAGCAAGTGGATATACCTCACGAATTATTCTTAACTAACAATATATAAACTTTCAGGGTCGTTCCTGAGAAAATGGGGGCCATAGACGAGTTTTAAGAATTTATAAAATGGGCCCATATTTGTATTGTATAATAATATACACATCATTCATTAAGAAGCACGACTCGACAATAATTTTTTTATTAGAAGTTAAGAATTTTGGGGGAAAATAGATTAAAAATATTGACAAAGTTAAGGTAAATCAAAAGTTTACGAGGTTTGAGGCAAAGCCCAGAAGTCTTTTTTGAAGATAGTCATAGACATACTATTGAAGAAGTAAATATTTGTAAATTTGGTTAAATATAATAAAATAAAATATAGTATATTTCAACTTGCCGAAACCTTTTGAAGTTAGAGTTAGACAATATAGATTATTAATAATGCAAGAACAAAAAAGTTGAAAATCTTAAGATCCCGAAACCTTTGAAGTTAGAGTTAGACAATATAGATTATTAATAATGCAAGAACAAAAAAGTTTAAAATCTTAAAATCGATAAAAGAAAATTGATAGAAGAATTCAATGTCTAGCTAATATTATAATTGTTCTAAGACATTTCATTCACATCAAATACAACAATAAATGAAAATTTCCAACAAATACTTCAACTATGTGAAATTATATACTTGTGATTATTCAAATTGTGGATCTATTTATATATTTGAAGTATCAGTGACTAGTATATATAAATAATACAAAATATTATTTGGGGCCCCTATTTATTTCAAAAAATCGAGGGGCCCGAGGCGACAGCCTCTCTTGAATCGGTCAATCTGGGACTCGGTTACCAAACAATGGTGTAGTTTTCCTCAACGCAATCCAAATGTCTCGGACATATCAAGTGTTTCGCCCTGTTCTATTTTTCCAATCGAAAGAATGTAAAAGTGAAGCTAGAAAATAGAATAACATTTTCTCCTCAAGGGGTATGCCAGCACAAATCCTTCTCCCCGATCCAAACGGGAGATAATGAAAATGGTTACCTCTATAATCGCATTTTCCAATATCGCCATCAAGAAATCTCCCTGGCTTGAATTCCATTGGATTATCCCAAATTAAAGGATCTCTATGGATCAAACACATATTTATAAAAACCGTTGTATTCTTGGGGATAACTGTAATACAAGCCGGGTACTTTGGAAGCAAGAGGGGTCCAGGCAGATGTAACCGCATTGTTTCTTTGATAACTGCTTCCAAATATTTCAATTTTGGAATATGTAATTCTTCGACCATGTTATTTAATCCGACGACGTCACATAATTCTTTTTGCGCCTTTCTCATGACCTCCGGATTGTTCATAAGCTCGACCATTGCCCACTTAATATTTGTCGCTGTAGTGTCGGTCCCACCAGACACAACATCCTGTTATACTTCAATAAACAATGCTCAATTATTTATAAGTCTAGTAATCAAATCAATAGTTCACATGGGTAGTTCAACTGGTTTCGGGTTGGTAAGTTGGTACAAGTAGTCGAATTAATGTAACTCATTAAATTCGTAAAATAAGTAATTACATGTAACATGGCCTTGATTTGTTTCTGACTAATCGGCATCTCCGAATCTTGTTTCTTTTGAATCTCTAAAAGGATTTGGAGAAAATACTTCTTTCCTTCTTTCTTGCACATAACTTCTCCGCATAACGTCTTCTTACGTTGAGCAATAACGGATTCAAAAATCATGTCCACCGTACCGATTGCATGTAAGTCTCCGCTTGTTTCTTTACTCCTTGGATATCAAGACCTGCAAGAAGTGGGAAAAAATCGGAAATATTCGGTTTTCCCATCAAATCAATAAGCTTACAGAGGACACCACAAAACTCCGTTGTGAATATTTCGCTTCCTTCTCCTGTAATTGTTCCACCCCACAAGATATTCATTATGATGTGATGTCCGGTTCGGGAAGCCATGTAACCAATTTGAACCGGCTTTCCAATGCGTTGTGGACCTGTCTGATTGCCTTTCTAACCTCGTCTTTACGAAGAACATTGGATTCCTCGAGACATTTCTTGCTCGTCATTTCTTGAACAAATATCTTTCTCATCGCTCTTCAATGTGAATTCGGCTCCGAAAACACAATGTCGTTTCCACTGTAAGATGCAATTAGTGCTGCAATTGGAGTGTCCTGATGCGAGAAAACGCCGTCTTTTTCACGGACCACCTCTTTCACAAGAGATGGCGAACTGATCACAACGCATAGTTTGTTACCGAGATAGAGCTTAAAGATTGGACCGTATTTATGCCCCAAAAAGGTGAACTCATTTACAAAGTTTTTACCGATTAGAAATGGCAAATATCCGAGGATCGGAAGTCAACGTGGCCCTGGTGGCAATGGAGGAGCTTTTCCTTATAAGAATTTGATGTGCCGGAAAATGGACATTAACAAAATTGAGACTGAAAAAAATGCTAAGCTTGCACCATAAGGCGAAATCCCTCGCCCCCAGGGCCCCCATCCCTTGGCCCGATAAGGATTGATGGAGGAATGTAAATCATGGTAACTCAACGGCCCGTTAAGGTATCGGACCGGACCTGGTGCCCACAAGGAACCAAACCTCATTGGAGTTGAAATTTCCACACTGCGGCTGCCAGTATTCGATCCTAGGATCCTGCACCAACTTACCACCTCCAGAACCAGTTGAGCTACACCCGTTCTACAATTGGTTGGGAATTAATATTAAGTTGGTGATCCAGATCTTGATTTCGTTACTCAGTTTATTGGTCTCACACAAAGCTAATGGATCTTATTCTAATTTTGGCATTTGTTTGAGTGCTTGGATTGGGTTCCATAACTTAACATTTGTGAGTATAACTAACTTCACCCCTACAACATGGCTATTATTAAAAGAATTCGGTGCTCATCAAATCGGTTTTATAGATGTTACGCCGCGTGAGATATACTGATTCCGTTTTTTCAAGTGTCGTTTACGTAAAGTATCCATAATTAAAGAAGGGCGAATTGTCCCAAGAACATCTCCAACTGAGAGGGGGTTTCCCCCTCCCCCTCCCCTCCCTCTCTCTCTACCTACGTCGCTTCCAATTGTTCGGTCTTTTATTATTTTTTTTTCCAATTCTCACTCTCACCACTATAATAATAATAAAATAATAATAACAACCACAATAACAATAATATTATTAATATTAGTATTAATAATAAGGGTAAATTACACCTACACCCCTGAGGTATGCTTAAATAACTTTAAGGTCCCTGTGGTATCGATAATTACACTCACCCCCTTGAAACGTAGTTATAAAATCTAATGGGATAATGCATTGGATACGTTATTACGATAGAGTTGTAACGCTCTATTGGTTTTAGGAAGTGGTGGAGATAACAAAGAGTTAAGGGTGATTTAAGACATATTTGGGGAGCCATGTCACCACATAACTCCCCATAACTCTATGTTATCTCCACCACTAACTAAAAGTAATAGTTCATTAGAACCCTATCGGAATAATGTATCCAATGCATTATCCCGTTAGAGTTTATAACAACGTTTTAGGGGGTGAATGTAATTATCAATACCATAGGGATCTTAAAATTATTTAAGTATACCTCAAGGGTGTGGGTGTAATTTACCCTAATAATAATTATTACTAATAATAATTAATAACAAATATTAATAATAATAATAATAATACTAATAATAATAATAATAATAATAATAATAATAATAATAATAATAATAATAATAATAATAATAATAATAATAATAATAATAATAATAATAATAATAATAATAATAATAATAATAATAATAATTTAATTATAATAATTCAATATTCAAATAAAAGTAAAGAAATAATCTTCAACTAATTCAATAATTGAAAAAAAAAACAAGAATAATAACCACTAATACAATAAAATAACCACTAAATAATTGAAATAAAATAAAATAATGATATAATATAAAAAATAAATAAAATAGAAAAGGAAAATAAAAAAAATATCAAATTAACAAGTAAAAAAAGAAAAAAAGAAAAGGGAAAAAAAATAACGTATATAACAAATAAAAAAGAAAAGAAAAAAAAAAGAGCGTGTATCACACGCCCCCTTCCAACACATGAGTTGGAAGGGGGCAGCTCAAGGGATTCCTCCCTCCCCCTCTCCCCACCTCTACCCACCCCAGACCCACACCCTCTTGACCCACCTCCATTGGATGTTATTTTACCACCCCACCCCATCTCCATTGGAGATCTCCATTGAAGATGGTCTAAGGAGGACTTATTTACATTTGTATCTTGAACAAAATCAGTCTTACCGACACAAAAGCCTATCCCCTTGTTTCTTGCCCAAAATGTCTCTCACAATATAATTTACATCAACTTCATCCATAATGTCTTAACTTAACAAATATTGCACATTGACCCCATAATTTAACAAATATACCACATTAACCACTATTTTCACAATTATTTGAATTTTATTTTTTCAGAAAATACTTTTTCCATCTGAACTTTTTTTTACGGCCACTGACCGGTGTTGACCTCGGTCTCCGGGGTAAAATTTTTATTTTTATTTTCTTGAATTTTTTTCTTAACTTTTTTTCCGGCAACTGCCTTTGACCAGCTATCTCTAGCGTTGACTTTTGTTTTTAATTTTTTTTAAATTATCTATTTTTCACGCCGTTGCCCGGTCAATTTAGTAAGATTATTGTGAACACAGACAATAATCTTATTGTCTCACACAATAATATTAAATATTTTTATTTTTTTATTCAAATTATTTTTTTGGAAACAACCAACACTGTAATATTAGTGTGCTAAAAATAATATTACTATTTGAGTCAGTAATATTGCCGACCAAGATATAATATTATTGTGTTAATAATAATTTTACTACCATGAGATGGTAATATTGCAGACCAAGACAATAATATTAGTGTGTTAACAACAATATAATTGTTTGAGAGAATAATATTGCAGGCCAAAGCAATAATATTAATGTGTTAACAACAATATTATTGTCTGAGATGGTAATATTGCAGGGCAAACAATATTATTAGTGTGTTAACAACAATATTATTGTGTGAGAGAGCAATATTACAATCCAATAAAGTAATATTACTGTGTTCAGAATAAGATTATTGTGTTAACAATTATATTATTTTATGGTTGTCGATAAGTCATGGAAAAAAAACAAGTCAATGGCGACGACCTAATAAAAGTTTCAGGAAAATAAATAAATTCAACGTGGGTGAGGGGTAGTCAACGGTGGCGACCGGCTGGAAAAAAAGCTTTTTCTAAAAAAAAAAAGTGAAAAAAGGTCAATGCTAGTAACTAGCGGTCAACAGTAGCGGTGACTGGCCGGAAAAGAAATTTCATATTTTTTTTATTAATAAAAAAAGTCAAGCTGGAGACCCGTGGTGACGGTCAACATTGGGTTGAGAGTCAAAATTGATTAATTAGTGAAATTGGAGCTAAATTAAGGTTTAAATCATGAAAGTTCGATGAATTAGGGTGTCAAAGAATTAGGCGTAATTTTGATATATAAGAGAGTTTTCCTTCGTTGCATATATAAGGGTTGATAAGTGAATATATTTGGCAGAAAAAAAAAATTGAATGACCCGTTTTTAAATAAGTTATCTTGTCATGGGGTGCTTTTGCAATTCACCCAAAAAAACAGAGGGGTACGTATAATTTTATAGTGTAGATATGCACATAATTATACATAAGGGAAAATTATTAAGAACCCCACATCTAGGAAATATAGGAAATATAGTTACGGAAAATTCCCCTTCAAAAAGTAATTAGAGAAAATCCCCTTAGGTAATACTCTACTTTGCCTATTAAGTTCCAGAGGCGACAATTTCCATTGATGGTTTCCTTCGCAATGACCATCAAGAGTCAGGGTCAAACACGTTCCCACGTTGATTTGTATCTACCCAGACCTGTATTCAACCACGGTCAGTTGTACGTTGAACTCTCGAGAGTCAAGAGTAAATCTGGCATAAAGATACAAATCAAGTCCGAATCCGGTGGATTGTCGAGTTCTACTGGCAACGTGGTGTATAAAGAAGTATTTCAGCGTATATGAAGGTATAGATCATGCATGCCATCGACTATTTATCTTACTATAACTATATTTTGTCTTA